TTTTTTTTTTTTTTTTTTGGTTTTTCAAGACAGAGTTTCTCTGTATATCTCTGGCTGTCCTGGAACTCACTCTGTAGACCAGGCCTCGAACTCAGAAATCCACCTGCCTCTGCCTCCCAAGTGCTGGGATTAAAGGTGTGTGCCACCATTGCCCAGCAAAACATTTTCTTAAAATTTTGTTATTGTTTTTAATTATTATTTGTGTCTGAGAAGTATGTGTACAAGAGTGCAGGTGACTGGGAAGGCCAGAGGTGTTGGATCCCTGGAGCTGGAGCTGCAGGCAGGTGTGAACCACCTGATACGGGGGCTGGAGACTGAACTCAGGCACCTGCAAGAACCGTTACTGAACCGTCTCTTCAGCACCCAAAAAACATTTTCTTCAAGGAAAAACTAGGACCTGAATATATAGAGAGATGGATCACTGGTAATCAGTGAGTGCATGGCTGCCACTGCAGAGGACCGTGTCAGACAGCTCAGTTGCATGACAGCTCCAAAGGATGTTTCTGGCCTCTGTGGACACAGCGGTCACATGCACACACCTACACACAGACACAGAATTAAAAATAAATATATAGTTTTTAAAAAGACTAAAGATGAGCTTTTAAATGAACTTTAGGAAGATCTTTTCAATATAAAAGTATAGTGAGAATTCTGGAATTTTGGTTTCTTTAAAAAAAACCCACAGAACTATTAATGTGTTTTCATTTTACTCCCAGGTGTGGTGCTGTGGGGCTGCTTTGTAGCAGCTGAATGATTTGCCTCCTGCTCTAGCAGAGGCATGGTTTTGCCAGCTGCAGATAGTTTCAGCAAGTGTGTGATGTTTAGAATTCTGGAGACTTGTCAGAGGATATAGAAATGCTAGAGCCCCGAAAGAAGGGGCTGGTTAGCCGGTTGGTGGTTGGATGCTGTTGGTTGCAGTTTGTCAAGTAGTCAGGTGTGAAGAGATGAAAAGAAGAAATTAGATATCCTAACTGTGAAGATCAAACTTGCCCCACAGTACTCGATTCCCCTAGTCAGCAGGAAGTAGTTTAATGATAACATTGCCCCCTTTTTTTCCTTTTTTCTCCTCTATCTCCTACCTAGTGTTAGGGGGTTGAAAGGGAAGAAGAGGATTGGTGAAGGGTGAGGAAGGAGAGACCCCACAAAGTAGCCCATGGTCCAGTTAGAGGCTTGAAGATGTCACGATTCCCTGACACTGGAGTTGGGATGGTTGTGAGCTGCCGTGTGGGTGTTGGGAATCAAACCATATTCCTCTGGAAGAGCAGCCCAAGCTGCTGACCACCTCTCAACCCCCACACCCCCAAGCCTTTTGATGTACTTCTCTCTCATCCTCACAGTAGCGCCATGAAGTAAATGCAGGTTCCATAGGTCAAATACACATAAATAAACATATAGACAATAAATAAGTCAATTTTTTTGTTGTTTTTGAGGGGGAAAATTTTTTTAAAAAGACTGGGAATATAGTTCAGTGGTAGACCATGGCATGGTGTCATTCTTGTGGGTTCTAGGGATTCCTAAGACTTGCCAAAAAATGAGGTAGCCTCAGGAACTTGGGGGAGAGTGTGTTTGCCATGCTTCAGATGAACTTTGGATGGTTGTGACAGGCCTGGGTGGTAAGTTTCCAGGCATGGTACGATTCATGGCTAGAGTCTTACATAGATTTGAGAGAGAGATGGAGGGGGAAGGAGGAGGGGCAGACAGAGAAAGACAGAGAGACAGAAACACTAGCAGAGCAAGGTCACGCAGGTGAGACTGAGTGTGCTTAGCAGGGAGAGGGGAGAGAGAAGGTCTTCATGTACAGGCCTTCACAGTGGCTGGCAGGAGGTTTGGTTTTGGCTGATTTTTGGGAGCATTTTCTTTCCTTGAAGCTTTAAATTTAGTGTTTTACATTTAATTAATTAATATATTTTGTTGAAGGCATGTGTCATGGCAAGTGTGTGGTAGCCAGAAATTAACTTTCAGTAGTCCCGTTTCTCCCCATCATGTGGGTCCTGGGGATTGAACATGGGTGTTTAGTGAAGTGGCTTTCCTGAAGAGCCACATCCGAGTCCTTCTTGAAGCCTTTGATGTGAGATCTGAATTGTCTCTTCTTTGTCTCAGGTTCCTGGAAGGGGATGTGAAAGATCACGTCGCAGCAGCAATCCTGACTTCTGGGACAATTGCCATTTGGGATTTGCTTCTGGGCCACTGCACGGCCCTCCTCCCACCTGTCTCTGACCAGAGTTGGTCTTTGGTTAAATGGTCAGGTACAGATTCTCATTTGCTAGCTGGACAAAAGGATGGAAATATATTTATATATCGCTACTTGTAAGAGGCAAATACTTTGGTTTTGTTTTTTCAAAGAATACAATATCTGAATGACGTAATTACTTGAATGTGTTTCCCACAAACTTAATTTTATTCTGATGGTGATACTACACACTGAACATTTGTTTATACTTACTTTCAGGTTAATGGTTTTAAGTCATTCTTTGCACCTTTGCTATTACAGCTGTACATAAGCAGTAAATGTTAATAAATATTTATTTTGATACATTCTGCTTGGCTTGCTCTATTTTTTTCCCCAGTCTGTTCATATCAATTCAAAGAGAAGAAGTACTTACAAGGCTGGGAGAGATCGTTCAGTCATTAAAATGCTTGCATGTACCTGACTTCAGTTACCAATGGGAAATGGCATGGTGACACAGTTGTTATCCTAGCACTAGGAAGGCAAAGACAGCTAGATCTCTAGGGCACACTGGTCAGCCAGGCTAACCCAACTAGCAGGATACAGGTCAGTGAAAGACCCTGTCTCAAAAAGAAAAGAAAAAGGTAGATGATATCTGAGGTATACCACCCAAGGCTGTTCTCTGGTCTCATGTGTACTGGTTTGTGCGTATAGTGCACACACACAAACGTTACTTAGACAACTAGAATCAATAACATTTGCACAATAAGACTATTTCAGTTAGCTTACAATGCCATATACTTTTTAAGTATTTTTAATTTATTTATATATACAATGCATTTTGATTATATTGAATTTCTTGTTTATTTACTCATTTTGTTTTTAAATTTGTGTGTGTGTGTGTGTATGCATGTACTGTACATGCATGCCACAGTGTATTTGTGGAAGTCAGAGGACAGCTTACAGTGGTTCTTTCCTTTGACCATGTGGGTGTAGGGACCTTTTATGTGCTGAGCTATTTCCCTGGCCCTGTTTGTTTAAGAGAGGCCTACTACATAACCCAGTCTGCCTTCAGATTTAAGATCCTCTTGCTTCATGCTCTCCAAGTGCTGGGATTATAGGTGTGCACCACCATGCCTACAATATCAACTCACTACAATATCTTTTTTTTTTTTCATTTTCTTTTTAAAAATAGGACCTCACTATGAATACTATGTAGCCTCTGTGGAGGGTGACAGCTGATTCTTGCAGGATAAACAGATGAAGCAGAAGTGAGGGATTTCAGGCGGAAAGGACAAACTGTCCTCTGCTGGTGTGTTTGAAGACAGCTACAGTGTACTCAAATACAGAAAATGATAGATTGTTTTTTAAAATGTAGTTATTTCTTAAATAAATGAATCCTAAAAAAGAGAATGTAGGTTATTTCTTAAAGAAGCTTGACCATGACAAGGCAGAATGGTTGAATCCGAAATACATATAAAGATGAGTGGAAGGAGCCTCTGGCTTTGATTTTAGATTAGGAGAAACAAGCATGTTTATGGGTTCATGGGAAAGAACCAGACAGTTAAAGGTAGAAAAATGCATAAGGACATCATAGTGCTTGCTTAGCATGCACAGGATAGTGAGTTGACAATGACAGAGAAGCGGATGACAATAGAGCTGATAGGTTGGAAGGGAGGAGGGCACCTGGTGTACTGCTGGGGAGTGTGCAAGTCCTGCCAAGTGCAGGGATGACGGGTGTGCACGAGCATGCCTGGCTTGTCTAGGACTCTTCTCACTCATCTTCCCTACTTGCAGATCCTCACGGCATCCTCAGAGAGACATACAGGAGATGGTGCTGCAGAAGTTAGCCCTCATTAGGAACAATTCTGAAGGTGAATCGTTCTTTTTTTTTTTTTCTTTTTCTTTTTTTTTTTTTCAAGAAAGGGTTTCTCTGTGTAGCCCTGGCTGTCCTGGAACTCACTCTGTATACCAGGCTAGCCTCGAACTCTCGAAATCAGCCTGCCTCTGCCTCCCAAGTGCTGGGATTAAAGGTATGCGCCACCACCGCCCGGTGGTGAATCGTTCTTAACACACAGGAAGCAATTCTAGAGAACTGGCTCTGGCACTGTAGTCAGAAGAGTGTCTTCTGGGGTTTGGTTCCATGGTTTTACGTGATTTGGAGACATTCTCCCACTTTTTAAAAATATCTGCACTACTTATGTTCCTAGTTCCCTCAGAGGCCAGAGAGAGCATCAGACCACCTAGACCTGGAGTTATGAATGGTTGTGAGCTGCCAGTGTGAATGCTGGGAATTGAACCTGGGTCCTCTGAACTAGCAGCCAGTGCTCTTGACACTGAGCCATCTCTGCAGCCTCCTTTTTTGTTTGTTTTGTTTTGTTTTTGAGATCAGGTGGTTTTGCTACCTAGATTCACTATCTTCCTGCCTCAGTTTCCCAGGCCTGGATAGCAAGTGCCACCACACCTCGTCTTTTTCCTTTTCTCTTTTTGAGACAGTGTCTCTCATATCATAGGCTGGCTTCAAACTAGCTGTATTGCCAAGAATAACCTCAGACTCCCAGGCACCTGCCTCCACCTCCAGAATTCTAGGATTATAGGTGTCTTAGTTAGATTTTCTATTGATGCCACAAAACACCATGACCATAAAGCAAGTTGGGGAGGAAAGAGTTTATTCATCTTACATGTCCACATTGCTGATCATTACAGAAGGAAGTTAAGGGCTGGAGAGATGGCTCAGAGGTTAAGAGCACTGACTGTTCTTCCAGAGGTTCTGAGTTCAATTCCCAGCAACCACATGGTGGCTCAAAACTATCTGTAATGGGATCCGATGCCCTCTTCTGGTGTGTCTGAAGACAGCTACAATGTACTCATCTACATAAAATAAATAATTTTTAAAAAAAGAAGAAGGAAGTCAGGACAGGAAGTCGAACAGGGCAGAAACCTGAAGGTAGGAGCTGATGTAGAAGTCATGGAGGGGTGCTGCTTACTGACTTACTTCCCATGACTTGCTCAACCTGCTCTCTTATAGAACCCAGGATTGCCAGACCAGGTTGGAACCACCAAAAATGGGATAGGCCCTTCTCCATCAATAACTAATTAAGAAGATGCCCTACAGGCTTGCCTACAGCCTGATTTTATAGAGGCATTTTCTCAATTAATGTTCCTTCCTTTAGGATACCTCTAGCTTGTATATTACATTGACATAAGACCAGTCAGCACACTGGGTGTGTATCAACCATGCCTTGTTTATAGAATGGATTGAACCCAGTACACTAAGCATTCTAGGCAATCACTTCTAACTTAATTATAGCATCTTCTTAAATCATAACACAAGTGCTGAGGATATAGTCGGAATCTTAATACTGGACTTTTTTATTTTACAGATCATGACATTTTCTGTTTGCTGTAAGAAAAAGTTCTCCCAAGATTACATCATTTATATAAAAGGAGGTTTATTATGTTTAACTTAAAAGGTTGAATGTAAACACATGTAGAGAGCGAAAGAGACCTTGTGCACACAGAGAAGCACTGGAGAAGCCAGGAAAGTTAAACACGCAGCTTACCTTCTCAGTGGAATGAGGTGTGTAGCTGTTCTTCCTAGAAGGCCAGGAATGATGGAGTTTTACAACTTGGTGATCCTTTGCCGCCTGATGAGACAGACTCTGCCTATATCTCTCATAATTCATCATATTACTTATCCCAGACCCTTTCTTCCTTGTTCTTGAGCATCGCTTTTACACCATAAAACATCCTTACGAGTGGTGTCACTTGTGCTTTATAACAGCCTAAGTGGCGTCTATGTTATCTTAGGGCCAGACATCAGTCAAGCTCCTTAGATCCTAAATCTTAGGCACTGTCTCTGAGTCAGTGGTCCCTTCTTGTGAAAGAAGCCAGATGTGCTTTGTAAAGAGTCTCAGTGTAAATATGTCTTAAATTGTTAGGCACTTGGGACTGAGTTCATTGGGGTTTTTTGTTTTGTTTTGGTTTTGGTTTTTTGTTTGTTTGTTTGTTTTTCGAGACAGGGTTTTTCTGTGTAGTCCTGGCTGTCCTGGAACTCACTCTGTAGACCAGGCTGGCCTCGAACTCAGAAATCCGCCTGCCTCTGCCTCCCAAGTGCTGGGATTAAAGTCGTGTGCCACCATTGCCCAGCTGACTGAGTTCATTGTTATCTGGATACTTTTTTTTCCCCAAAAACATTTGTGCTGTGCTTAAATATGGCTAAAGTAAAATGATCTGGGCCAGACTTTAGAAGTCTTGGTCCAGCACTGGTTACAATAAAATTGGGCTGAGCAGAGTTTCATTCTTCACTCTGATCAGTTTTCCCTCCTTGCTGTGAAGGCTGCAGGGGAATCACCACAGAGTGTTCTCTATGGCAACCATAAGGAAATGATCAGAATAGTCTCAAGTCTGACTGTTAAGCCTGCCACTTCTCCAAGCTTCAACTCAAGCCTAAACTCCCCTTTTCCTTCTGTCTTTGTGAGGCACTGGCCAAAGGTCTAAGATGATTTCCTTGACACTTGATCTTCTCACTGTCTCTCTGAAGACCCGCCCTTTTTTCTACAGTACCAGCTGACTTCCCTGCCTGACTCAGAAGGCATGCCGTTCTTCCTCCCTGTGATCACCTTCCTCCTAGAAGGTGTCTAGATTTTCAACTCCCCTGCTGTGTTTCTCTCTCAAACTAGTAAAATGGTCCTTGGGCCTAACAAACAAAATAACAGTAAAAAAACAAAAACAAGCCCCTACATGTCTGTTGCCATACAAAGAGAAATTTTAAGTTGGAAGTGGTTATTAAATCATCTGGGTTTCAAATACTAGATAGATAATTTTAAACAAAATCTAGGAGTTGGGTGGAAAGAAAACACTCAGGCCATGCGATGGTCCATGCCTTAGCTAAGGTCCCCTGCCTTAGCATCACATGGCCCGATAACCATTCCCACTCCTTATAGGAAAGGTCAGGATCTTTGGTTGATGGCAGTTATTGTGGGCTGAAGTCTTCCCAATACTCTGACCCCTCCTCCCAACTGTTTTTCCCTGATTACAGATTTTTTTTAATGCTCATAATCTTTAAACAAGAGACTAATAAAAGATCTCACATTTACCTAGTAGTCAGGCTATATTAACCATGTGCTGAGTGAATTCCAAAATTATTACACTAGTTGCTAAATTAGAGAGTAGTCAAGTAAAGTCCGAGGTGGATGTTTACCCAAGTGACTGGTCATCAGGAAACACTGCTTTACCCAATAGCACAGACTAAAGAGGGTTCCTTGATCCCAGGGGGCAGGTCATCCTCACCTTTCAAAGTGTCAAAATGAATTCTTATCTGAAAAGCTAAAATAAGTACAGCTGAGACATAAAATGGTGGAGAAAAAAAAAGTAATGCCTGAATCTGTCAGGAAAGCAAAGGAGTTCTTTTCAAAGGAAGATACTCAATAAACAAAACATTGAGGAATTTTATTTGGTTAACTCCTCCACATATATTCACACTCTTATCCCGAAACAGACTTCTGAGCATGCTCAGTTTAATTCATTTAAGAAGATGCTAGGCATATGATTAGGTCATGGGGCATGTGTTTATGAATTGAGGGGAATGAACAGGACTGCTTCTAGGCATGCTCCACTCACACCAGAAAGCCTTAGCTGAAAACAAAGGAAAGGGCACTTTCAAAGTGCGTTAGTGAAGGAGTTTGCCCCTTGGGTGTCTGCCTTGCTTAGTGTTTAGCTGGTGTGTGGGCTTCACCAGAGTTGTCCCTTGTCCATTTTGTTCACAGTCTCAGATTTCAAAGTGTCAAAATGAATTCTTATCTGCAAAGCTGTAGATAATCTACTTAATCTGTAATATACACACATTGTCCAGTTTTGTTTTTATTTTTTGCTGTACTGAAGATTGAACCTAGAACTTGGGTCATACCAGGCAAATTCCCTATATACATACATTATTGAAATTTAAAATATGTACTATTATACTTCAACATTTCTTAGTCTTCAGTTTACTCACATAAGCACACGGAGTTTGGGGGGTTGTGGGGGATGGTTGAGTTATTTATTCATTTATTTATGTATTTTGAGATAGGACCTTGCTATGTAGTCTAGGCTACCACTATCTGATGATCCTCCTGCCTCGGCCTCTGGAGCTAGGAATTGTGGATGTGGCAGTCACACTTACCTGGCTACTAATCTTAAATCAACTCTTTCTCACACTCATAATTTGTACTGAGTTTTAACTGAAACCAAAAAAAAAAAAAAAAAAAAAAAAAATCTTAATGCTATGGGAGAATCATGGCCTATTTTATTTTTTGAGATAGGGTTTCAGTATGTAGCCCTGGCTGGCTTGGAACTTGCAGTGTAGACCAGGGTGTCCTTGAACTCTCAGAGATCCTTCTGTCTGCAGTGTGATGGTATTAAAGATGTTTGCCACCACCACGCTGTGATCATCAGCCAACATTTTTTTTTCCCGACTGAAAATGATGCAGTTTTAATATACCATTCTACAGAAAGGGACACCACACAGAGAAAAGGCAAAAATTACTCTTGGGTTGATTTTGCCCAAGACATTGAGTGGATTTTGAACCCCTGAAATTTTTGCCTCTTTCTCCCATAGGCTAGACATTGTAAGATTCACAATCTACATAGACCCCTTCTCAAATTCCCTATCCTTTTTATTTAGGAGGAAAAGCCTTATTTAATGAATTAGTTTTTAGGCTTGAGACTGGCCCTTTTGCTGATTGTGGGCTCAGTCATACAGCTTATTGCCTATATTTTTTTTCTTTTTTTAAGTTATTTTTTTATTTTCTACATATTCACTTTACATCCCGCTCACTGCCCCCTCCAGGTCAGTCCCTTCCACAATCCTTCCCCCATCCCCTTCCCCTTCTGTAAGCCGGTGAGGACTCCCTGGCTATTCCCCTATCCCGGCACTTCAAGTCTCTGCGAGGCTAGGCGCTTCCTTTCCCACTGACAGCCAACAATATATTTCAGAACTCTGTGAGAAGACACAAGTCAGTCTCTTTTTTGAGTCAGTGACAGTGTTTAGGGTTAGATAGATGGCATTTGTGCAGTTGCACCAACAATAGCCCATGCCCTTCAAATGGAGTGGGTGCAGCGCGTCTGGGAGCCGCCAGGGTCCGCCAGCGCCCGCGAAGCCCTCCAGCGCCGCTCTGTACGTCGCAGGCGTACGGCGCTAGTAGCGGCTTCGGCGGGAGGCTGCGGCGCAGTGCATCCTGGGTTGGCGTAGCCATGGCGTCTCGTGTCCTTTGCGCCTGTGTCCGCCGCCTGCCCGCGGCCTTCGCGCCGCTGCCCCGGCTTCCCACGTTGGCCTTGGCCCGGCCGCTCAGCACCACCCTCTGCCCTGAGGGAATCCGGAGGAGACCTGGGACTCTGCAGCCCGCCTTGGCGCTCGCGCAGGTGACTCGCGGTGACTTTGCCGGTGCTAGTCAGGGGTCAGGGCCCCGGGCCGTCCGGTTGGGGGAGGGGCTCCAGCCAGATGCACAGAATCTGCAGGGGTGATGGGGTACGCGGCTAGTCCCATTGCCTGACGGGTTTTTTGGTTGACCCCTGTCGCGAAGCTGAATGTCTTATGATTAGAGTACAGGACTTCGACCAAGTCTTGCTCAACAACAAAATTGGACGCCAGCTCTCATCCTTACGGAGTGGCACTGAAGTTTAGTGGAGAGATCGAGTAGAGCACCTACTGCAGTTAGTTGTCAGTTGTGATGATGGCAATTACTGTGGTCACTTCCTAGGGAAGTGCACAAGAGGAAAGCCACTTGCTTACAATAGCCCTCTCTAGAGTATTCTAGGTTCCTAGAGTTCTATTGTAATTTTTCCCTTGTGGCACCTTTTGTCTATGAGCCTTCTGGAAGTAAGGATAGGAAACAAGTCCTGTGTAGCTTGCATATTTGATGAAACCAGTGTGAGGCTTAAACTCTGTGAGGACGTCACTTTCAACCCTAGATGCCCAGCAGAGGACCCTAGCTAGCCCTCTTCCCGCTCCCCTTCTGACTTATTCTGCCTGGCATGGCGGAATAAGTCCCAGTGTGCATGCAAGATTTGGAACTACTATAGGATAGACTTTGGGCCAAGTTGAAGAACCCTTTTTCGTACTCAATGAGCTTCCTGCAGTAGTGGTTTAAGTCACACCTGCATGCTACAAGAAGAAACAAGGATCTCCATCCAGTGTTGAGAGTCACTGACCGTGTAATAGATAGGCAGGCCATTGTCCCATTGGCCATATCAAAAGGTTGTTATTATAAAAGTGTTACAAGAGCAGTAAACTTGCTGTGCCTTGGATCTAGAGACCAATTTCAGATTAAGCTAAAATGTGATGTTCTTAACAACACTGCTTCTCAAACTTAAGTTGTACACACAGATCAGTCAATAGGTTTATAAAGTATTTTCGTGGGCTTTCTAGATGGGGTCCTTGGACCAGGCTTTGAACAGGTGGTGTTCTCTCTGCTTGCTTTATACAGATAGTAGAGGTACTGCTTTATGCTTACAGAATGGTTTTGATTAAGTTCATTCACAGATGTGGAGACACAGTTTGTTTGCAAAATATTTTAGGTTTGTTATTGGACTATAGATGTCCTCCTCTGCACAATCAGAAAACAAACTGTAAGCGAGGTTTGTTAAAGGAATAAGAAACCTTTTCCCTGAATCACCCAGCTTAGATGAGTGCAGTAAGTGCACTTGGAAGTTTCCAGAAAATGAGAGAGAGTAGAATAAGGAAAGTTTTGAAGAGGCAAGGATTTATTTCAAATAGCTGTGTTTGAGGTGCTTCATTTCCAGAGGTTTGCCATGGGCAAGTGACAGCTTTAAAGCTTTTTCCATAAACAGAGGACAAAGGGGAGCAAGATGGACTCTAATGGAAACTCGTCAGTATGAGGCCAGCTTAGCCACCAAACACAGTGCCATCTTTGGTGCTTAGAGATGATTTATGTCACATGCGAGTCTGGGGAAGAACACTACTGAGACAACCCGTTTTGATCACAGCGAAGGTGCTTTTCTACAGTAGGCATCCGGCAGAAGGAGGCAGTTTAGCTCTTCCAAGAGGTAAAGCAGGGGAACTTGGGCAGGATACCTAACCATTCTGTGTCAGTTTCTTTGTAAAAGGTGTGTAAAGTGTTTAATATAACCATAGTCACTCTTTGGGCGTACACCTGGCCCTGTATGAATGTAACAGTGATGCCTGGATAGCTACTGACATCTAGTGGTCTACATGGGTAAGTGCATACCAGTAGACACTCCAGCCACTTTCTTTTCTCATGGCCTGTTCTCAGCACTATTTCTCCTTCTCTTCCATGTTAATTCCACTTCATACCAGCCAGCCCTGTGTTTTCTGTGTTTGTTGTCTTTGAGACAGTCTCACTTTATCTCAGGCTGGCCTTGGAACTCAGGTTGGTGAGAATATGTTACTCTGCCTCACCCTCTCAAGTACTAGGACTGCATCCCTGAACCACTGTGTCTTACTGAATCTGCTTGGATCTTCTTTTCCTTACAGTCTGGAAATTGAACCTGTGGCCTCACTCATGCTAGACAAGCCCTCAACCCCAGTCCCTTAATAGTTTCTAATCTCTTCTCAACTCCTTCTTAATACGCACACAGATATGTTAGATCCTCCTACCTCAGACTTTTCTGTCATTCTCACTATTAACGTATTTCTCCCTCCTTTTCCTATTCCTGTCTGCTTCATCTTACCTGTGACCTCTTTGGGTCATTGTAATGAGTAGGACTGGTGGCATATCCTTATCAAAGGCCTCTGATACACAGTATACAGGAAACAATGGATTAAGACACAAAAAGTACCCTGCCTTATTCAGAAATCATCTAGACTATCTCTTCAGCTCATCTAATTTGCTGATTAAATAAGTCTGCTGAAAAGTAAGTATATCTTAATAAAGATGTGCACATTGGTTCAGTTTTACGTATGTCCTTGCTATACACCGTCAGGCTTGCCTGGACTCTGGATGTTCCTACCTCAGCCTCACAAGTGTTAGGGTTACATCGTTTGACACCCCAGCAGCTCATTTTTCATAGACACACTCAGGGACATGAGTGCCAACAAGCAAACCCAGCTCTTTCTCTGACATTTGTTTAGTATGAGCATGCGTGTGAAGGTGAGAGGATGACTGGAGGGAGCCTGGTTTTGGCAAGTACCTTTACCCTCTGATCCATATTGCTGTCCTTTCCCCCTTCTTCAGTGTTGAGCCCAGAGTTTCATACATGCTAAGCAAATTGCTCTACAACTCTATCCCTGCCCCTCTTTACTCTCAGACAGGTTATCACTAAATTGTTGAGCTTGGCTTTCAACTTGTTTCTTCTGCCTCCCCTCCCAAGTATCTGGGATTAAAACCCCCAGTAGCAGACTCATTTTCTATGGAACAGGCTTAGCTGCAAACTAAGAACTTAAAACCCCCTGCCAGGCAGACAGTGCTCCTCCATACTTGGTAGGTGAAATCTAGTCAAGGCTGCAGTACCCAACTGAGAATAAAGCAGACTAACAGCAGAAAACAGTTGGATCTTATCATAAGAACACTCAAAAAGGTTCATGTCTGGTGGCTATAGGGCATTCCCACCTGCTAGAGAAATAGATGGGCTGTGAGGCTTAGGGGTGGTGGCTGGTTTCATTTGTTCCAGCCAGAGTCTAGTTACCAATCACAACCAAATTAGACCTTCTATATGCCATCGGAGCTGTTAGGGTGGGTTCTCTTGTCTCATATCTGTGGTAGCAGTGCATTGAAAAGGCTGTGGCATGCTAAATTTGCCATGAGGAACTTAAGCATTTCTGTGATGCTTTTATGCTAGTGACAGTCTTACTGAACAAGATGATGTCCAAAGCAGAGGGACCAGTCCTGACTCTGAGGACAAGCAACAACCATTTTGAAGCTAGAGCTTCCAGTTGACCCAGCCCTATAACCCAGTATTCAGTAATGACCACACTGGAAAGTGAGATGGCATGGGTTCTGGAAAGCTCAGGAAGCTTTCTGAGAGATACCTGTAGGGGCTCACCAGGTAAAGGTACTTGCCAACAAACCTTATGACCCTCAGTTCAATCCCCAGGACTCACATGGGGAAGGGGAGAACTGACACAGCTTGTCCTCTGACCTCCAATCATGTGCTGTGGTACATGTGGAGCCCTCTCCCAAATAAAAAATGTTTGTGTAAAAATTTTAAAAGGTACCAGTAGTCATGTACATTTATGTAAAGACATTTGGGATGGAGTGACAGTCTCTCTTCCTGCCTTTGTTCTAGGTGCCTGGAACAGTCACACATTTGTGCCGTCAGTACAGTGATGCACCCCCACTGACATTAGAGGGAATCAAGGACCGAGTTCTGTATGTCTTGAAACTCTATGATAAGATTGACCCAGAAAAGGTAACTGGTTTTATTTTTTACCTTTCCTTTCCTCCGTTGTGTATGTGTACTTATGCACACGTATATGCATGTCATGGCTCCTTGAGGAAATCACAGGACAATTTGCAGCAGTCAGTTCTCTCTTCTCACCACGTCTGTCCCAGGAATCAAATTCAGGGGGTCATTAGGATTGGTGGCAAGCTCCTTTACCTGCTGAGCCATCTCACCAGTCCATTTTTTTTTTCTTTTAGCAAACTTAATCACACAGTATAAAATTCAAAGGGTCCAAACAAATATTCAATTAAAAGCCTCCCCAGCTTTCGGCAAACTAGTTCCCTATTAGTAGATTGACATTGCCCTTGTATAGACACTAGCTTCTTGTGTAGTTTTCTAGAGACATACATGGATATGTCAGACAGTACACACACATGTATAGTATATATGTATTTGTCTCATTTACTTTTCTATTGCTGTGATCAAACACCAAGGACAAGGCAACTTACAGAAGGAAGAGTTTATTTAGGGCTTACAGTTCTAGCTGTCAGGAGAATGGTAGTAGGCAGGCAGGCATGGCACTGTATAAGTAGCTGGGAGCTTACATCTTGAAGCACAAACAGGAAGCAGAGAGTATGTTGGGAATGGAGGAGGCTTTTGGTTCCTTGAAGCCTGCCCCCCCACCCCCGTGACACACCTCCTCCAAGGCTACCCATCCTAATTCGTCCTAAATAGACGCCAACTGGGAACCAAATATTCAACTGTCCAAGACTTACAGGGTCTTCTCATTCAAACCACCACAGTATTTATGTTTATCTCCCACTATCTTCCAAAACCGCAAGTGTTGTGGAGTTGTAGTCAGGGGAAAACACATCCTTACCCTATGGCAGGGCCTAATTACAATCAAGAAAAGCCTGCAAAAACCCACAGCGGGTACATATACCACAACTGTGTTTTGCTTCTTGTTGAAAGGATTTCACTATGTAGCCCATGCTGGCCCCAAACTCACGCTCTTAGCCTCATCCTCCTAAAGGATGGGATTATAGAAGTACACTACCACATGAGGTTTGTTTCCTTCCTTCCTTCTTTCTGTCTTTCATGTTTGTTTTTTTGGAGACAAGGTTGCTCTGTAACAGCCCTGGCTGTCCTGGAACTCTATAGATTAAGCTGGCCTGGAACTCAAAGAAATCTGCCTGCCTCTGCCTCCTGCCTCCTGAGTGCTGGGATCAAAGGTGTGCGTCACTATAGCCCTGCTCTTTCTTTTTTAACTGAACCCTTGAAATTTTTTTCATGTGGTATGTAAACAACTTTTTTCTTTAGTAACACAAATTTGTGGTGTGTAAGGTAGTTTGTTTTTAGCGTAGGTTTTAAAATGATTGTGTGTGTGTGTGTGTGTGTGTGTGTGTGTGTGTGTGTGTGTGTGTGTGT